TGGTTAACCTTGACTTGAGGGAATAGAACCCTTAAATTATTTATTATGTGAATTGCATGTAAACGACGTATAGGCGAGGTGACGAGTGTCTATACGTCGTCAAATTAAATGTTTGCCTGCATATTTGAAAAATCATAAATTATTTTTAATCATAAATTAATTATTATAATAATTATTTCTCTCTTATTCTTTGTCAAATATTAATTCTTGAATTCCTGCATTAATTGTTACGTGTTATTTGAATTATGTGCCTTAATTGTTATTTGACATTTATAATATTAAATATTAAACTGCCTATTTGCTCCTTGATTTCCATAATAATTTGCTATTTGTCATTATTTTCTTCATAATTAAATCATAATTATTGTATGCTTGTTATCTTATGATTTTATATTAATTGTTGCGTTTATTGGAAAATTTCTTCTATAAGAATTGATTGGTAAATGAATATGTTGGAGGAGCGGGTTGCACGCCGTAACAGGATTGATTATAATGAATATATTGGAGGATCAGGTTGCACCCCGCAACAGACTTATTAAAAAATTCATGTTGGAGGATCGGGTTGCACGCCGCAACAGACTTGATTGAATGTGAATATATTGTGAGAGCGGGTTGCACGTTGCAACAAAATTGAATGTGAATATATGGTGAGAGCGGGTTGCACGCTGCAAACTGAATTGATGGAAATGATAATTGGTTATGACTGATGAGTTGGCTTCAATTATTATAAATGAGTTACTTGATTTATTTCTATTATTGTTGTTGTATCTAATATTGCGTACAGGTAATGTAAGTGATCCGCCTTAGCCTCGTCACTACTTCGCCAAGGTTAGGCTCAGCACTTACCAGTACATGGGGTCGGTTGTACTGATACTACACTTTGCACTTCTTGTACAGATTTTGGAGATGGTCCCAGCGCGTGCCATAATTTTGCTCGGATTTCAGCTACTCGGAGGAGACTTGAGGTATAACTGCATGGCGTCTGCAGTTTTGAAGTTCCCGTCTATTGTACTTTAGCTGTGTGTTTATTTTCAGACAGCTTTATATTATTCAGACCTTTATTTGTATTTATTCTAGAAGCTCGTGCACTTATGACACCAATTCTGGGATGTTATTTAGACATCGTTATTATTATGAATTATTTCAAAATTGCTTCCGCATTTGCTTCCTTGTTATTGATAAATTTAAAAATTGTTTTAAAAATGAATAATGTTATTCTAACGTTGGTTTGCCTAGCAAGTAAAATGTTAGACACCATCACGGTCCGGAGGTGAAAATTTCGGATCGTGACAATTGCCTTGTCACTAGTGTTACTTATAGGTGGAGGAATACATATATAGGATGAGAACATCAGCTATGAGATGGATATATAATCTAACAATATTATATATACAGGTATTCCGTGTAACTAAACTAGCCCAACAACTCAGTATAAAGTATAAACTAATAAACCAAACCCACTCAAGCAAATCGCAATACACGACTATTCTTTCAGTTCTTCATCCTGGGAACGGGGTAACGTAGTATTTACGACCTACAATTATATGGTTAAAATTGTACACTTATGGAGGATGAAAAACGAGGGAAGTTTGTTAAACAATAGTCAATAGCAGCCTATCTTTTGTCTTATGTGGACGTGGCACAACATTAATTATTAATTAGTCTATAACATGAAAACAAAAGAATTAAACAAACAAGTAACCCTTTATAATGAATGTCGATGCCGCATATATTGGTCATAGGCCGGAAGAGCGCATGTGTTTCCATTTCATTTTTCTCATCAACGCACCGCCCTCTTCCCCCACCACGAAAGAAAAACAGATTTTTTCCATATTGCCACGTGCCTTAATTGTGAACTGATCAAAGGAAAAGAAAAAGACAATATAATTTTTTTTTATTATAGCTCATGTACTTATTGTACTAAATTTTGTTAATCTTCTAACCTTTTACCTAGTTTACTACGTTAGCTACCTAACATGTAGGGTGTACAAATAAAATCGCACAAACCTGATAATTCGAGTCAAAACGAGAAAAAAAATCCGATTATGATTTGGTGTTGAAAAAAAAATCCGACCATATTTGGTTTGGTTTGGTTTTAACTAAAAAAAGTCAAATTAAAACCAAACCAACCTGACATTATATGTATAGAAATTTTATACATAAAAATATTTATGGTAGTGTAGTTTATAAATATTTCTTAAGCTTTTTCATAGTTTTATCTTTTAACGTATTATTTCAAGCTTGAGCATATAATTTTTGTATGCTCCAATAAGTTTTACAGTCCATAAATGTTAGTAACTCAAATAAATCCTAAACCAAAATCAAATCAATACTAATGCTAATAAAAGACATTCAATTCAATTGTACTATGAATGAAAATAGTGTTGAATATCTATTTTTTAGTTTTTCCACGATTTAGATAAAATGTATAACTAATTTTTCTTTTAGTGGTTAGTCATGTGAATAATAGTACTTATTAGTCATAATTTTAAATTATGTTTGTTTTCATGACTTATTAATAATATTTATTTTATACGATTTTATTATCTTTATTCTTGAATATTTTAGTACAATGCCATGACTCATCTCCTACTTATGTTATTTTATTGAAAAACATATTATATAGTTCTGTCTTACTAGGATTAAAGAAATATCTGGAGAATAAATTTTACGTTTTGTGCTACGAAGACTTTATGAAAAAAACCACGAAAACCCGAAAAATCCGAGAAAAATCGAGATTAAAAAATCTGACTTTTATTGGTTTGGTTTGGTATTTAAATTTAATAACCCGATACAATTGGTTTGGTTTGATAATTAGAAAATCCGAACCAACCCGATCCATGTACACCCCTACTAACATGCATGAAACTTATGGTTCATTATAATCCATGAAAGGGAAAATGAAGGGTAGTATCGTAATATAAATATTTAATATCATTCAATGTTTATATCAAATCATAATATTACCGTAGTAATCAAAATTTAAAGAAAAAATACGTATTCTTTATTAGTGGCATGCCTTCTAAACACAGGGAAAAAAGAAAAAAAAAGCCATCTTGAAGACTTGGACTATTTATTCTATTTTTTTGTGAAAATATTTATGCACTATATATAGGGGATACTAAAGGAAAAAGTTTATGCAAATTAAATTAACTTATTGAAATAGTATCTCCGATTTATTTTATGTGACACCATTACTGTAAGGAATTTATGACTTTAGTTTGGTTCTAGTTTTATATGAGCTGTATCGGAAAGAATAATTAAAATTTTATTACTTTCTCATTTCAATTTATGTGAAACACTTTTTTTATTAGCTTGTTTTATGAAGAATGACACATTTCTTATATTTAGATATAATTTAACTTTAAATTTTTTATTTTATACTTTTTGAGAAACTTTTATAGTTATACAAATGTTATGGTCTCACAAAGCCTTTACTCTTTATGCTTTTGAGACTACAAGTTTCAAAAGTGTTCTTTTTTTTCCACTAAACCTCATGCCAAGTCAAACTATGTCACATAAATTAAAACATAAGTAATTATATATTGAACATTAATAGTATCATATAGAATTTCAAATTTGATAAAGTAAATAAATTTGAAATTCTTCAAATCTGGAAAATGTTTGTTTAATGATACTCCCTCCGGTTCACTTTAACTTATTTTTTGATTGTTGTTACACATAGGAATCCAACTTTTAGCATTAATTAACGACGAAATTGACCATATTAATCTTAATTTATTCATTGAAAATCTAACAAATACTCCTTGGTTCTTTACTCCAAGAACAATTTTTAAAAAAAATAATTCCTTTTGTATATTTGAAAAAAATCAAATATTAGACAAAAAAAAACTTAAAAAATTAATTAAAATGGACAGAAGGATTACGTTCATGAAATATGTCCAGTGTCCTGGATGTCGTTGCAAGATGAGAAGTATAACAGATAAATTGGGGTGAATATATATTAATTTTTTATGTCTATTGAGGGCTTTTCTATTTTCTTATGTTCAAAAACTTCGATGAGGAGATGCATGTTCAGTAACTATCCTTTATACTAGTACGAAGCTGTCATAGTCTAGATTAGGGGTGGCAAACGATCGTGTCGGGTCGGATATGAGCGGATCGAAAATAGGTAATTTAAAAATGGATAAATTATCTGATCTGACCCGTATTTGAGACGGATAAAAAACGGGTTATCCGACGGATAATATGGATATTCATATTATCCATGACTTTTTGAATATGATCACTTATGGGAGAATTCCTAGTCTCCCAAAACTTGAGGAACCCCCAATTTGAGGCTTTACAAATGTAAAAGTTAAACACATTAGTTATCCATTGATTAACCATTTTCTAAGTGGATAATATGGTTCTTATCCATATTCGACCCGTTTTTAAAAAGTTCATTATCCAACCCATTTTTAAAGATAAATAACTATTTTCTTTTAACTATTTTGCCATTACCTTTAGTCTAGATTCTTCCCTATGTCAATGAATAAATCCATGCAATAATTTTAACCACTTTAACGGCAATATTACAAAGATAGTCGCAGCCCGGTAAAAAAAGCACTTTGACTGGTAAATAAAAATGAAAACCATAAAATCATCAATTACTACGATCCTACATGTTTGCACTTAACAGATTGTTTTGAATCTAAAATCATTCACATGTCAGCTTATTAAGTACTGTATATTTATTTTAATAGATTTGCGCAAATTCAAGCTTTTGTATATAATTANCTATTCAAGGCACACTTGCTTCTTTCTCATACACGGAAAATACAAGTTTAATCACACAATTAAGTTGATGTAGAATAGCGGAGAGACATTCAAAGCCGGCATTACTGACCACCGACTCCTTAAAAATCATAGAGATTTCAATAAGCAATAAAAAACACAAAACTCCTTTAATTTCTCATGACTTTCTCAAAGTCAACCTCTTCAATCTCTATATATAAAAACAAAGCACTTCATTCCAAACTTAAAAAAAAGAAGAAGAAGCCAATATTCCTAAATTGCGCATAAATTTCTCTCACTTCTTTTGTCAAAAAATGGGCAACGGCTGCTACTCTCTTTGTCCTTCAAAATCATTAACAATTAATCTCATATTTCACGATGGAACGACAAGGATCGTCGCCGGAAAAAGACTGGCCGGAGAGATAATGTTCGAGTTTCCAGACTGCATGGTTTGTCATGCACATTCATTCTTCATCGGACAACCTATTCCTGTCTTAGCCATTGATGATAAGTTAAGGAATGGCGACGCTTACTTTGTTCTTCCACTCGATTACTTCACAAACAAAGTGCTTTCGGCTTCTTCTCTTGCTTCCTTAGGTTCTAATAACACTAATAAAAGAGCTCCAGTTAATTTCAAGAATCCTGCTTTTGAATATGTTAAGGGTTCCAATGGTAGGGTTTTGATAAAAGTTGCACCAGAGTTTATGATAAAATTACTTCAACGTGGAAATGAGGATGGAGATGAGAATTGTGATGGTAATTTTATTTTATGTACCACACCGGAGTTGAAGAAGCAATATGAGCAATTGGTTGGGCCAAAAGGGCAAATATGGTCTCCTAAGTTAGAGACTATTTCTGAATATAAGACTAGGTATTCACCTTGCAAGTTGATAGGCTTGGAATGGAAACAGAAAGAATAGTGAATCCACTATATGGGTTCAGGCAGTGGATTTCATCATATTTATATATTTTATATATGCAGTTCGAGCCAAATTAATCGTGATGGGCTCAATTGAACTCACAAAACCTGTATTAATTTGATTGCCGTACAGAACTCTTTTCCCTTTTTTTTTAAATATTATTATTTAGATGTAAAATTGACATTACCTTTTCTGCTAATCCCAAGTTGTAACTGTACCAAAGAATGTACAAAACGATATTCATTCATATGATGTTTCCAACTATCAATTCCAACAAGTTTTCAAGGTGAAATGTAGCACAAATTAACCACATCAGGTATAATAATTTTTGCCTTATTTTAGAGTTTTAGTGTTAGATAATTCAAAACTGACCCCTTTGTTTCAAAGAGCTTAGCTAATTTAGTTTATGAATTGATTTTGTAATAGTAGCAAATTAGTAACAAATGTCATTATATTATTAGGTTATTAGCACCTAAACCTTGCTATGATATACTTAAGATAGCAAACAGAACTTGTCTATGATAAACTGAAACCTTGGACTTGGAAACGTTGTTTAATTTTGCAAGAAAAATAATTAACTCATCAGTGGTTGTCTAGCAGAGATGAGCATATGCATGTACTACTCATATTTTATGACCTTATTCGTGACGTTAATTGTGCAAAGGTTTCTTTTAGAGTTAATACCCTAAAATTCCCCTAAACTATCAAGTTTTTGTCAGTTTTCTACTTAAATTATTCGGTGTCTCCAAAAAATCCTGAACTATACTGCCCTTCATATTAAAACCCCCTCATTGCATTCTTAGAGGTGTGTCGAGTACACGCTCCTAATTATCTAAAAAACATTCTATGTAGCACTACACGTGGCTATTTAATTCAGCCTAAAATCCACCTAAACTATTATTTTTTTGTCAGTTACTACTTAAACTATCTGGTGTGTCCAAAACCTACCTGAACTATATTCCCCTATGTATTAAAACCTCATGTTGGACTTTTAAAGGTTTAAGGTTTAATTGTGATTGTGCTCTATGCTAGACTCCAATTGATAAGTCCTTATTTATATTCACTTTGTAGTACAATTAAAATATAAATAAAAGCATATAGTATTGTATTTCTTAAAGTCATCTTATATTACAAAAAAAAGATTACACAAAATAAAATTTTCTAAATAAAAATCAATTGCCCAACAATTACATTCTCTAATTCCAGATTACATAAAGAAGGTTCAAGCTATTCAATTTTATTCTTTACAAGGTGTTGAGTTTAATAAGAAAATTTAAATTGATATTCTTTCAACAATATGTATAAGACATGAAAGAATACTAAAACAAGAAAGAGAATAAATAATTTCAGAGGAAACAAGAGAGGGAGAAATTTTTCCAGAGGAAACCCATATAGAGAACTGAAGAAAAAAGGTTTAAAATGAAGAAGAATGTGAAAAACAAAGAAGAAATGTGAAAACCGAAGGAAGAATGGTTAAAAATGAGGAAGAAAGATGGATATAACTGAAATAAGGAGAATATTTATTTTAAAAAATAAATTTGAAAGAGGGTTAGACTAATTAGCCATTATTTTCTGTTGGTGGGCCACTTTGATGGCTTTTTCCAGCTACCACGCACTCCCAAGCAAGTATCTGCACATGTTATGTCAGGTCAGCAATGAGGGGTTGTTAATACGAGCGACAATATAGTTCATGGGGGTTTTGGGAACACCGAATAGTTTAAGTAGGAAACTGACAAAAATATGATTTAAGGGTATTAACTCTTTCTTTTAATATACGAAAAAAGGTCAAAATTGTCCTCGAACTATCGAAAATAGCTCAAATATACCCTCTGTTTGTTTTTGGTACTAAATTTATCCTCGCCGTCTAAAAATTGGACCATTATTGCCTTAAAAATTAACGGCTGCCACATCAGCTTTTGGACATACTTAAATATTACGGAAAAAGGGTCAAAATTATCCTCAAACTTTCTAAAATAGCTCAATTATATCCTCCGTTTGTGTTTGGTACCAAATATGTCAACAACAACAATAACAACCCAGTAAAATCCCACTAATGGGGTCTGGAGAGGGTAGGGTGTACGCAGACCTTACCCCTACCTCGAAGGAGTAGAGAGGTTGTTTCCGAAAGACCCTCGGCTCAAAAAATAAAAAGACAAAAGGACAAAAAGGGAGACAATATTAGTATCACAACAACAATCATAGGATAAATAGGAACACTGGTACCAAATATGTCCTTGCCCTAAAATCTAACGGCTGCCACATCAACTTTTAGACCTATTTAAATATTATAATCATGTTGACATGCCAGTACAACATGACCCAAAAAAAAAACCTTCTCCACCCGTAAGAACCCATTTTCTGCGAGGGTTTGCTGCATTTCCCGTGAAGGCGCAGTAAAGCACTTCAGGCTAGCCAGCTAAGCCAGTGAAGAGGGGAAGGATTAGGTGGTATCTAAAAAGAGTATCTTTTTATGGGATTTTGGGTCTAGGTCTTATTTGCGGTCGGTCTTCTTTTCTTTTCTGTTGATGAAGACCGGAAGTGGAAGGGTATAGTATTTTAGAGGATGGTCTCATTCTAATGGTTTTCGAGTTTTTTATGAGAGTTATTTTTAAAAGGATATATCTCCGCAACTAATTTGTGACCTTTTTGAGCTATGAACTTGGATAGCTAGACATGGGACTACTGCAATATGCAACTTTTGTTGTTCTCTACCATTTTATGATAAGATTTCTGATTTTAAGTGATAGAAGTTGGTATTTTATTTCTTGTATAGTATATTAAATTTTTTTTTATAGATTTGTGAATCTTAAGAATAGCCCAACTAAATGTCTCATAATAAGATTGGTGTAGCTTTAATTATTTAGAAGGAGCAACACTTAGATAAGTCAACGAATGAAAATGGAGAAAGAAATTTTATTCGTGGGGGCTTTTGTCAAGATGGAGGACCGTCTGTTGGAGATAGACTTTTGTTGTTCACATGAGCTCATGTGACGACCGTTAGTTTTTAGGGCAGTAATAGTCCAATTTTTAGACGTCAAGGACATATTTGGTACCAAACACAAATGGAGGATATAATTGAGCTATTTTCGATAGTTCGAGGGCAATTTTGACCATTTTTTCGTAATATTTAAATATGTCCAAAAGCTGATGTGGGAGCCGTTAGTTTTTAAGGCAATAATAGTCCGATTTTTAGACGGTGAGGATAAATTTAGTACCAAAAATAAACGGAGGGTATATTTGAGCTATTTTCGATAGTTCGAGTACAATTTTGACCATTTTCCGTTTAATATAAATTCAGAATTACTCTCCACATGGTCTCCCAAGCTACAAATTAAATTGGATATACTTTTTTTAAAATTTTTTTTATCCCCCCTCCAAAAGCTTTCGCCTTGTTATTAGGTGACTCGAACTCACAACCTATTAGTTAGAAGTAAGGATATTCACCGGTTGAGCAACCCACTCTTGTCAATTGGATCTACTTGATTACCTACAATGTTGAGCCTAGCTAAAAAATTGTGTCTAGAAAAGAACTGAAAACCTAGTTCTTTTAAAATTATATAAAGCAGATCAATTAGTCGGCGTTAACAAGTTCTGACAAGAAATTAAATGAGACTTTCTTAATGAGATCATATGAAATGTGAACATCTATAAATCAAGACATACTGATTGAAGACACTACCTTTGATTGTCTTGAATTCTCTTCGTTAATTCATCAATAATTTAGAAACACAGAGATTAAGGCTTGCTCTGTTTGTACAATTATTAAGTCTTAATCTCAATAAGACAAGTTCTATACATATTGGACTACAGAATGGACCAAGCCAAAACCTAAATATATTCCGATAACCCAAGCAAAGTAAAAATTAAATAAATTTGAACAATGTTATCCTAATGCCCTGCCATTGAAGGGTCTTTGATTGACAGTACTAGTATTACAGATATTCAAACACAAAATTTACAGATATATATATATATATATATATATATATATATATATATATATATTGGGGGATTGGATTGCACACCACAATAGACTTATTTAAAAGTTAATATTGGGGGATCGGATTGCACATCGCAATAGACTTGTTTAAAAGTCAATATTGAGGGATCGGA